TAGTAATTATTCTAATTAAAAATAAAGTATGAAGAAACAATTATAAGAGCTTAAAAATATTCATAAAGTGTTTATCTTTACATGAACAATTCAATTTATCCTCCTTTAATAAATTAAATTCTTTTATTTAAATTTAGACAGCAATTATAGATAACTATAATCTATTATTATTGTTATCTTATTTCTATTGTATCTTTCAAAGAGACTTTATTAATCAGAACCTATTCTATTCTATTTTATTATGAAATAGGAAATTCAAATTTTATTTAGTAAATAAATGTTATAGCTATTTAGAATTAAGAAAATATTCGATCTTTTAATTTTAATTGGGATTAATTATTTCGATCTAAATCTAAAAGATCGCAAATAAAGATTATTCAATAATAGCAATATAAAATCTAAAAAATCATTAATCCTTAATTATTGCAATGATCATGAATTATTGGTTTATTTTTTAATAAGGCTTTACTTTAAATTTGAATTATAGTTTTTCTCATTATATATTTGTTATCCATTTAAGTATAGGATTATTGAGAATCAAATAAGTATTGAAAAATAAACCTTTATCATTTTGCTATTTAGTAAAACTAGGAGTTATATATAATTATATTAAATATAATATATCCTCATTGCAATTGTAAGAAATTATTGCAACTGATGATTCCTTTTTTAAATTTTACCAAACTGATCTATTGTATTCTTGGAATAAAGAATGGAGATTTTACTTTTTTTGAATCAATTTTAGTAGAAGCAGAAATAAGCAATAATTTAAAAACTAAGTCATCATTACTCTATTAAACAGACTTATATCAACAAAAATATGAAGAGAACAGTATTTACTGATATTTTAGATTTAAAACAAATGCTAGAAGATACATCCTACTTAGATTTATTTATGTCTGAAATTCATAAGAATTAAAAATTTTAAATATGTATTCCAGATATTTTTATGGCCAAATTAATAATTTGACTATTATAACTAATTCCTTAGTATTGTACCAAATGGTCAAAGATTTGGACTTTGTGAATGAAGAATGCCTCGATAATTTATACATATACGATCCAATTCTAAAAAAAGGTTAGATTCGAAAATGGAGTAGCCTAAGGATCTGTATTAAGCCCCTTCTAATTCAACATCTTCTTTCATTATATTCTACACAAAGTTCAATGTGAGATAACAAATTTAAAAGAAGGAAGAAATATTAAAAATTTATATAATCATAGATATGCATAAGATTAATTAAAAAATAAAGGATTTTACTTCATAATTAGTATATAAAAATATCTAAAAAATTATAAAATATTAATATAAATATATAAATTATAAATAAAAACTTGAAAATAAAGCAAATTAAATTTTAATTCTGAAGTAAAGTAGAAAAATAAAGGGCATTCTGTATAATTGCAAAAGAAAGCCTAATTTAACAATAGATACCAATGTTTTAATTTATGATTTATAAATTAAATTAAATGTTTAGGAGCACTATTCTGAAAAAAACCAAAATAAAAACCATTATCGTATCTTAAAAGATAGCCAACTCTCGTAAGGCCAACTAAGGAGAAGAAAATCTCAAGTTTATTATACGTGGTTTTAATAATAGGGAATGGAAAATTTTAACTCTCTCCTTTTTCTTTAATAAGGATCATATTTAGAATACAAAAATACAACCTTATCATTTAATGTTAAAATAGTTGATTTATAAAAACATTTTCACTTTCTAGGTTATGAATGCAGTTCTAACTATAATAAAGTTGATAATTTCTGAATGAATACTAATTATTTTATTTTGTAATTATGTAAAGCATTATTGAATTTTATTATTTTAGAAACTTAATTTAAATTAATAAGACTTCAATCTAATGGAAATCTATTTTAAAATAAATAAATGAAATTTTTAGAAAATAATCGAATAATATTCAACTATTATTCTTCTAATTACATTTATTAAAATTAACTTTAATATTAGGCTTTTTTTCAGGCATTTATTGTAAACAACAATAATTAATATAGAAATATATATACTATTTTTTAATCAATCACCTCTGATTTTTGTTAAAGAAGAGCACAATAATGATACAATTTTATACTTTCTATCTATCCATACTGATTATAGTAAGTGATAGAAATTGAAAGAAGAAACTGCGAACAATACCTATAATTAATAGTTTTAATGCACCTATAGGCATTTATTAAAATAAGTAATTGCAAGAGGATACCTTATATACAGTAAATTATTGACTATAAAAAAAATTTTGCATTATCATTATTCATGATTTTTTAATATAGCATCAATTAAAAGAATATTATATATGTTATAATGCCCTTACAATAAATGATGATTATTCATTTAACTTTGTTTTAATTTTCCTTTTTTTTCAATCCATGATACATAACAAGTATAATTATTTTAATGAATTTAAAGTTCAATTTAAGAGTTTTTATAAAAAATGTATATAGGCCTAAATTAAAAAACTTTATCACTATTACATCCATAGCTACTTCCAAAAGTAAATTTATGACAATTAGGGAATGAGCATTTTTTCCTTATGATTGGGCTCTATAAATATAGCATATTATACTTATACATTTTATCCACTGGAAACTTATACAAAAATCTTAAGTTTTGTTCCTTTTTAATGTTTAAATATAAAATGATGAAAATTGTATTTACTTGAAGGGTT